TTTATGTTCCTTTTTATGTTTATGTTTTGAGCCATTATCGTCACACAGGGTTGGGAAACGATCCAAACAAAGAGCCTCACCTCGGTGCTTCAGACGTGGCAGCGAGGCACGTGACCGAAGCTGCTCAAATCACAGCTTCTGAAAAAAAAAGGCTTTTCTTAACATTTAGGCGGTGAATACTACACATCACGCCACAGCACGCCACGGTGACATGGACGGTGACAGCGAGGTCGTCTCTGCCGTCGTAAAGTTCTCGACCAAAGGTTAAATCAGGGAACACAAACAGCACACGGTCGGAAATTTGGAACATGATTCACTCAGTGTTCCTGGACTGTGATTGGCCGGCCCTCCTCACTGATTCCTACATCCCACTTAAACCGTGGATGTAAATAATATGAGCGGAAAAGCAATTTTTTCCGAAAAATGTTGTCTCAGCTTTTTTTGTAAATGGTGTGTTAGCGTGTGTCTAAATCAGCGTAGAAAGAGTGAGGCTTTTCTACGGAGGCAGAGAGAGAGAGAGAGAGAGAGAGGCAGAGAGAGAGAGAGATGCTGAGGCTCCACGCACTTCACAGCAATTTAGGTCATGCTAAACAAACGCAATACTACAGAAGCACACACAAAGAGGAGCCGCAGCCTCTGGCTGATTGGAGCGTCTTGGCTGCAGCCCAGTGTAGTGACTCGCTGGTTTTATCCTTAGACGTGGGCTACATCCCATTACCAATTTCCCCGGGAGGAGGCAGACCAGATTATAGACATATATCACAGGAAGGATTATTAGGTTATATGTTACTTCCACTGTGAAATATGAGTATTGCAATACTTCCATCACAGAGACAACGTTGCACAGCTGTAGTTTTTACTCCTTAAAATCCAGAAAAAACACACAGTCATCCAACGGAATGATGTTTTTTTTTTAACTTATATAATGTTATATAAGAAAGAGTTAATTTGATATGTAATATAGAGTTATATGATATTTTTTTAAATCCTGATACCATCATGGTCATCCTGTTACTGCAGTACTAGTTATCACACACACTTATCTAATCTAGTCTAATCCAACCAACTAAGTCTCACTTGTCTCCAGGTCCATACGTGTCCTGACAGTCATAAATAAATGGGATGTGAACACAACATGTTTCTGCCTCTTCCACCCGTGTGGCCAGAAACTAAATATTATTTACTTAATGTTCATTTAAATTTGTGTCACATTTTTCAGCCGTTCATCTGCAGCAGCAGCACTGACTAAATGGACTTGAACGTAGCATTTTTATTAGCCATATTTATTAGCCATATTTATTAGCCATATTTATTAGCCATAACTGCACGAGTCTTGATCTGAGCCTTTGAACCAATGAGGAGCCAGTAATGAGTCTGTCAGTGTTGAATGAGTTGTAACCTCCTCAACACTGAGATGATTTCACAGCCAGTGGTCCAGTAAAGAGGGAGCAGCCCCCCCTCACCCCTGTCCTCCCCCCGTCCCCCACTCCCCGCCCAATTAATGTCACTCTCCCTCTAAAAGCCACCGCGAGAGTGTTCTCAGCCTAATGGAGCAAGGACCACCATCACAGACCACTATCACAGATCACTATCACAGACCACTACCACAGACCACTATTACAGACCACCATCACAGACCACTACCACAGACCACCATCACAGACCACTACCACAGACCACCATCGTTTGGTGTCAAACACATGCTTCCAGTGAATTTTTTTTTTAAATGCTGCTGGTGGAGAATCTGTCGTCTGAATCAAGGCTAGGCCGCGGGGTTAGAGGTCACGGGCCGAGCGCGCACGTCACCAGTTTATTGGACTGGTCCAAGCACCTCATCAGCAGGTGTATAAATACGTGTCATGTTTCACTCGCCATGTCCGCAGGGACGGCGGAGCCAGCTGAGGCTTCAAATGCTACACTTCATGTGCTATCATTTAGTAGGTTAGTTCACCCCTCGTTGGTTCACCATCTGCTGCCCTTTCACTGCCTCAACTTCACAGACAGGGAAAAAAAAAAAAAAAACAGAACGTGGGAAGAACTTGTTCCACAGACATCAACAGTGTTCTCCAGTGGAACTCTTTCCACTTCCTGTTTTTTCTCTTCTTCTTCTCTTATTGTTTCATATATTGACAGTTAAACAGGTCAAGAAATTGGACTTGTTTTTCTCTTCTGTTATGGAAGAGAACAGTGTCAGTTGTTGAGGTTCACAGACCAGTTCAGTTGGTGATGGGATTTGACACAGTTTGACTGGAGATCATTTTGGTCGTACAAATCCTATTGTAAACAACATTTTTTAAACATAATAACTGAACGCTGCAGCAGGGTTTCTACACTGAACACAATCAGGTTCCAGTTTCCTCGCTCTCCTGATGTCACGCTCCTGCACCACAGCACAGCCATTAGCATAGCTAACAACAGCTAACTGGAGAGAACACAATACGTCTTTGTTGGTCTGGGTGTTTTTTTTCCATCTTGGACAACAACACGGGGATTTTACAAAGGAAAGATCCGAAAAATTCTGCCGGTTTCACGACAACAAATTCATCGACTCGTCGAACAGCTTTCAATCCTCTGACCCTGGAGACGCAGGTGAACTGCGTGTTTGATCCGACCTGAACTTCATGTCTTTGACTCTGTTTAAAGAAGAAGAAGAAAATGTGTCCTTACTGGTGCAGTCGCTGCTCAGTCAGGGGGGAAACAAGGGCCCAGGGCAGGTGGGAGGAGGGGGAGGAGGAGAGGGGTCAGAGGCTCTGCACGGTCCGGTGGGTCGGTCAGATATTTTTCTAAGAGGTGATAAATTCAAGGGAAAATGCTCTAAGAGGTGATAAATTCAAGGGAAAAAATGCTTTAAAATAAATCCAGGAAAAACAAAAAGTTAAAATGTTTTGTCTGAGAAAAAAAATAAAATTCCAAGTAATTCCAACATGAAAACGTCAGTGGGAATTTCTTACCTTTGCCCTTTAAATCCTGGCTCTGCTCCTGGAGAAATCTGTGCTTCCTGGTCTTTATATTCCAGCCTCGTTCTTCAGTCAGAATAATCCTTGGCTCCTGTATCGACCAGATTCTTTTATCGCCATTCGCCAGATTTTCAGTCATCGTTTCCTCCGACTCCACTGTAGGAAATGATTTGGAGAAAAAAAAAATACTGTAAAACAAGGCAGTACAAAATACACACAACAAAATGTTGCTGTAGAAAATATTATTTACAAAATACACTGGTACTCAAATATAATATGGAAATGACAACGACATAGATGGTAAAAAAAAAGATGGAATTACCAAGAAAAAGACTAAATATTTCAGTAGAAAAAAAATATATTGTACTATATATGCTGTCATCAATGTACTAATACATTAGCCTCACAGTCGATATGTTTCAATGTCTGTGTGTGTGTGTTAGTGTGTGTGTGACACAGAACATCACTTCTGGGATGTCGGTGGTAAAATATGAAGTGAAATAACAAAAAAAGTCCTAAATAAGACGTTTGTTGGTCTGATTCCGAGGAGCCGAGAGCAGAGGAGGAACAGAAGGAGGAGGGGGGAGCGGGGGGGGGCGACTTTGAGATGACATTGAGCCTGTGTGGTTGGGAGTTGGGTCTGCTGCGTGTTGATGTGAGACAGTCGTACAAGGAGAAGCGGCTGCTGCTGCTGCTGCCCCTGTTGGTCCAGCCTCTTCTTTCACCTCCTCCTCCTCCTCCTCTTCCTCCTCTTCTCTCCTCCCGCTGCTGAGCGTCAGCTCTGCTCCCTGCTGGTCAGCTCCTGCTCGGACTACTCCATCGCAGCGCGGGCCCGTGAGGCATTTAATGGAAGTAAAATCTGATTTTGTTCCGACAAACTGCGGGAGTTTACAACTTCAGGCCCAGCAGGGATTACAGGCGGCTCGGCCCGGGGTCCGCGGCCCACAGAGCAGCAGAGCGCACGTTCGTGGTGAGTGAACTGGCTGCTCAGTACCTGCGTCTGTCCGTGTGTCTGTCGGTCTGTCTGTTCATGTGTGCGCGCGCGCGCGTTTTCTACGAATTCCGTGTGTTTTGCCTTTGCAGCTGCAGACGGTCGGTTTGGTTGAATTGTGAATGAGCGTCAGAGTCCGAGTCCGAGCTCTGCGTCCGCACGCGTCAGCCAATTAACTGCAAGATTGATTAGTGTTTGCTGGAGTCTATTGGCTGCAACAAATGTGCAGAGTTATTGCACTGCGTCTAACGACGCCTGTGGTTCTGAGTTAATCGAACAGAACTGAGGCGCCGCGGCTGCGGACTGGTGCGTAAAGCTTTTACGCATTCGACATCCCTTTGTCTCCACTGGGCTTTTTGGTGATTTTTTTTCCCCCCACTCGGCTCCGTGTCTCTCTGTGTTTCCAGGCTGTTTTTATTCTAACGTGCACCGGATCTGCAGAATCTGCAGGTGGCTCAACTTGGTTCTGCCTTTTCCTCATCGGCTGTTTCCTCTCGGTGCGTCTCAGGCTCACGGTGCGCGTTTATGGTTTTCTGCTTGAAGGATTTGTCTTAAAGTTATATCCTGCTTTAACCTGAATTCACCTCATTATTTATTTATTGATTGATTGATTATTTATTTATCATGTTTTTACTGCCGTGGGTTTTGGGGGATCTGGTTTAATTCCCGCGCGCTCTGCTGTTGTTGTTGTTGTTGTGTAATATCTCGGGGTTTTTTTCGTCTGATATGAACGAAAATATTTGCATGTTTGAATTAATTGACGTTCTGTGATTGCCTCCCTCCCCGTCCCCCCCATCCCCCTCCCTCATTGGTCCATATTGGCCTCATTAGTCTCCACATCTTGTGCGTCTCCTGAGACGTCGACCAATTGCTCTCTCCACGGTTCCAGGTTAACGGAGACTGACGAGCCGTGCGCGCGCGCGTGTGTGCGTCCAGGGTTCATCTCCATTTTGCTCCAGAGGTTGGGTCGTTAAACCGCGAAGCTGCTATCTACGTGGACTGGTGCAGAATCCTCCCGTCCCACTGCCAGGACCTCTGCCAAACCCAGGGCCATGGCGACGAACGGCACCAAGGCGGATGGACAGGTGACGGAGCTGAACGAGCTGACGACCAGCAACGACAAACCCAAGTCACTGGACGTCAAGGGCGAGAAGCAGAAAAAAGAGTTGCCCGACAGAGAAACCTGGGCGGGAAAATTTGATTTCCTCCTGTCCTGCGTGGGTTACGCAATCGGCCTGGGGAACGTTTGGAGGTTTCCGTATCTGTGTGGGAAAAACGGTGGAGGTAAACAACAGATTTGATGACGATTTGACAGAGAAATCACTCAGGTGTAAATGTGTTGGCAGTTTGGTTTGAAGCCGTCAGTATGACCGAGCCTGCTTTCCCTGTGTCTGCTCAGGAGCCTTCCTGATCCCATACTTTCTGACTCTGATATTTGCTGGGGTTCCACTGTTCCTGCTGGAATGTTCTCTGGGTCAGTACACCTCCATCGGAGGACTGGGTGTGTGGAAGCTGGCTCCCATGTTCAAAGGTAAACCGTTTGTACCTGTTGAAGCTGTAAAAAAAAAAAAAAATACAAACACCATGTTAAAATACTGCTCTACTCCAGAGTACTGCAGTAGTTTCACTGCCATTACTGTGTCGTAGGTGTGGGCCTGGCAGCAGCTGTGTTGTCCTTTTGGCTTAACATTTACTACATTGTTATCATTTCCTGGGCCATTTACTACCTGTACAACTCCTTCACCGCTGTAAGTATGACGCACTTTACCCCTGTGGGGCAGATACACCTGCTGGGACTGGGGTCTTTGAGAATCCTGGGTCACAGACACAGAGATTTGGGGCAATTATTATCATGTTAAAAATTTGTTGAAAAAAAAAATTTAATTCTTGAACCTCTCAGCAAGATCCTTGTGGACCCCCCAGGGGGTTACCAACCAGCTATTGAAGACCTTTTTCCTAGGAACGTTGCACTGATAAGAAACTGCTCATCCGTACATAATGAACATAGTAATACTATGAAAACGTGTACTTCCTCAGGACCTCCCATGGAGCTCATGTAACAACCCTTGGAACACAGACAGATGTTACACCAACTACAGCATCGCAGACACCACCAACCTGACCAGTGCAGTGATGGAGTTCTGGGAGTAAGACATGCATTGGTTTCTGGTTTTCTTTTTTTTTTTCTTGCCAACAACCTTAGAGCCTAAACATGTCTCTTCTGCTGATGCTCATGTGAACCACGGCCTTGTTGTCGCTCTGACTCTCAGGCGCAACATGCATGAAATGACCGATGGCTTGGAAAAACCAGGCCAGCTTCGAGTGCCGCTGGCAATAACACTGGCCATCGCCTGGGTCCTCGTCTACTTCTGTATCTGGAAAGGGGTTGGCTGGACCGGGAAGGTAGGATGTGTTTTAACTCTTCTCCACCAGGGGTCCTCACCAGTGCTCACGCTGTCGATTTGTACTATAATTAGGACATTGTTTTTTACAAGACGAAATGACAGTGAGGACATTTATTGATGTAGACTAGAGAAAAATAATTCATCTGCGCCGACGTCCAATCAATGCAGACTTCATCTCACGAGGGTGAGAGCCAATCAAAGCTAGGTTTGTTTGCGAGAAGGCGGGACATTGAAACGGTGATCCAGTCGTAGTGAGGAGGGATTTAAAGAAGTAACCAATTAATTAGGAGATAATGACTGAATTTATGACAGAATTTAAAATTCAGACATAATTTAGAACATGGAGTCATGACATCTTTTAAAGCTCAAACTTGATTGGTCAGATTAATTAGTTACTTCATTATAATTTATATATTTTAATACTAGAAGTTTTTATATTTTAATTAAGTAAATAAATAAATCTCAAATGGGCATTAATGTCACTGGTACTAAACTCATATATATTAACATATACAGTATATACATATATGTACATACATCCATACTGTATAGCTGATCGCCGTCTCTGGTCTCCACAGGTGGTTTACTTCTCAGCCACTTATCCTTACTTCATGCTGTTCATCCTCTTCATCCGTGGCGTGACTCTACCTGGAGCCACTGACGGGATTCTGTTCTACATCACCCCCAACTTTGAGAAACTGAAAGAATCGGAGGTGATGACACGATTACACGGCTCACGCCGACAAACTGCCTCCGGGGGCAGCGGCGCGCGGCCTCACACTGGTTAACGCCCACTCTCTTTCCTCAGGTCTGGCTGGACGCAGCGACCCAGATCTTTTTCTCCTACGGATTAGGGTTGGGGTCCCTGATAGCTCTGGGCAGCTACAACCCGTTCAAGAACAACGTCTACAGGTGAGGGTCACTAGTCTGAGACTCTGTTCCATCTGAACATCAGTTACTAACACTGGAACAGAGGGATCTACATTTGGAATCACAAGCTCCGATCGAGACATTTCTTTAAGAGTTGCCAACAGGTCAGTGTTGTCTTTCCGTCCTCAGAGACTCCATCATCGTGTGCTGCATTAACTCGTGCACCAGCATGTTCGCTGGATTTGTGATCTTCTCTATCGTCGGCTTCATGGCCCACGTGACGAAGAAGGACATCGCCGACGTAGCAGCTTCAGGTACGAACTCCACGTCTCGTTTACTGATCCTGACTTTTTCACAGCGTTCGTCTTCTTCTCTGAGTCAAATGGGATTTTTTTTCTTTTTCCTTTTTTTTTCTTTCTCCCATTTCGTTTCCAGGGCCTGGATTAGCCTTCCTGGCCTACCCCGAGGCCGTAACCCAGTTGCCTGTGTCTCCTCTCTGGGCTATTCTCTTCTTCTCTATGCTGCTCATGCTGGGCATCGACAGCCAGGTGAGGGGCTTGGAGCTGATCTGTCCCTGAGCTGACCTAAATATTTAAATGTGGAGAACATTTCAGGCAGCTCTGCTCCATCAGCCTACAGCTGTTCTGTGGTGGACGGATGGAGCGGACGTACAGTAACTTTACTGACTTTTGTTCCAGATCAACATTGAAAGTTGATGATATTCTCATTTAAAAAGAAAAAAAAATCAATCAGTGAATTATTTCAACTCTACGACTGAAACTGAAGCATTGACATTTAATTTGACCTACTGTAACTCCAGTACAAATCCACCAGCAGCAGAACTTCTGTGTGTAAATATAAGACTAGTGGTTTATAGTAGTACTGCAGTGTCACAGTAGCAGTACTCTCCACATCAGAGGCACTACCACAGCAGTTAGAAGACGTTTGGTTTTTAAAAAAATATCATGCAGCTCAATGGGAAATATGACCATAGACAGAGGTCCTCAACATGGGGCCCGTGGCCCCTAAGCGGTCCAAACAGGTAAAGCAAAATTTTTAAATGACCAATTATTTAGCGACAATATGAATTATTATAAAAATAGTAATATCTCTTTAATCCTGGGATCTCAGGGGTTCAACCATTATCATAAATATGTCAGAGTACTAGTATTAGGTACTGCAGTATCTGGATGTGTGTGTGAGTGTATTTACATGTGTGTTCCTGTGGTTCTGCCCTCAGTTCTGCACAGTCGAAGGCTTCATCACGGCTCTGGTGGATGAGTTCCCCAGACTTCTGAGGGGGAGACGAGAGCTCTTCATCGCGGTCGTCTGTCTGGTGTCATATGTGATTGGACTTTCAAACATCACACAGGTACAGCAGCTCTGTAAATGACACAGGTGTGACCGTGGTTAAGATCCACAGCAGAGAATCACAATCTTAAGATGTTTTTGTTTTTTTTTTGTCAACCATGTTATTCTTCTAACACTTCTCCGTTGTCCATTAACCAGGGCGGCATCTACGTGTTCAAGCTGTTCGACTACTACTCTGCCAGTGGGATGTGTCTGCTGTTCCTGGTCTTTTTTGAATGCATTTCCATATCCTGGTTTTATGGTGGGTACCATCAGTGAATCCTGGTACAAAGTACTACACGTACAGTGCACGGTTGCTTTGGTAACTGAACCCAGAAGAAGAAAAAAAAAATTACTTTTGGAAAAATTTGATTTTTACATCACCAGTGTCAAAAATGGGTGTAAGAAAATATCAATACACTGAAATGCTGCAATATTTCGTCATTGTCTTTAGTATCTTTGAATGAATGGAATATTTGGGACTGAAGTATTTTGATCCATTTGTCCGACAGGTGTGGACAAGTTCTACGACAACATCCAGGAGATGATTGGCTACAGGCCTTGTATTTGGTGGAAGATGTGCTGGGTGGTCTTCACGCCCCTCATTGTCGCCGTGAGTACCCCGAGTACACAGTACTACACATGACAAATGAAGCGATAAATAAAGTCAATATTTGCCGCCTGCTGCCGTGTCAGGCTCAGAGCGGCGCCCCGCACTCGCTGGGGTCAAGATGCATGAAGCGTCTGGTGTCTCCCACAGGGCGTGTTCCTGTTCAGTGCCATTCAAATGGTTCCTCTCACCATGGGAGACTACGTGTTCCCAGCCTGGGGTCAGGGAGTCGGCTGGCTCATGGCAATGTCCTCCATGGTGCTCATACCAGGATACATGGTCTACATGTTTCTGGGACTTAAGGGAACGTACAAAGAGGTGAGACGTTTCATCACTAAGGCTGTTGTTAGGTTATTGACGTAGTACTAGTAAAGTTTACCACCAAAAAAAACATCACCTAGGAAATCATCAGTACTAGTTTATGTCAGTACTTCGTCTGGGGAACTAACCACTCAACTATTGAAGAAATTACAAATAAAATATTTGTCAATTCTGATCAATAATGGAGAACAGAATGAAGACTGTAGCCCTACTACAGTCTGTGAACAGTCTATGTTTGACAGTCATCAAATGCCGCAGGTCAACTGACGACAGCACTTCACTTTTCTACACAGCTGCTGGAGGATATTGGTAAAAAAAACAAAACAAAACAAAAAATCTAAATAAAGAATAAAGGTCTAACACGTTGTTGAGGTCGTGGTTCACGGCTACAGTAAACCTTCTACCACCCAACTTTAAAAGACAAACGGGAGAGAAGGGATTGAGCTAAATTTCGTGTTGTTTTCCCGTCCTAACTCTGGAGTTTGTCTCTTTTGCAGCGACTTCGGATAATGCTCCAGCCTCCTGCCGTGGTCAGGCGTCAGGAGAACGGCCCCGAGCAGCAGGTGGAGTCCAACGTCGCTAACCTGTCCAGCCCTGCCAACCCAGCCGAGCCAGCTGTGGCCAACGCCACCAGTCCCACGGGTGCATCCTCCCTCAACGCCACGAGCCCTTCGACCCCGGCTAACCCTACTCCGGCACCGGCTAGTCAAGCCACCGCTGCTAGCCCAGTGACCCAAGCGGCGACCAGTCCCGTCATCACCACCACCATCACAACTGTCACTCCGGGCAACCCCGCCACGACCACCTCACCAGTTGGCTCCGCCGGCCCGCCACCTAACCCAGCCAGTCCAACGGAGCCGGTCAGCACCGCGGCCCCAACCAGCCCGACCTCTAACCTGACCACTGCCGAGGCGAACGTGTAGGTGACATACAAACCCTCAAGGAGCATGTAGACAAAAGAGAACATTACAGTGGACTTCCAAGATTTCAATTGATTCACCTACCTCCGGGGGCAGTATGTAATCAAAACAGATTCTCAAACCATCTTTAAGTTTTCTGCATTTGTAAAAGACCGAGACAGTGGCGTCTCTTTGTTGGTTTGTATTCTGAGATCAATGTCAAAGACTGTTAGTCACAAGTACAACCATAGGTTAAAAAAAATACTGTGTAAAACTGTGAGAAAAGAAAAAACAGAGATATAGGTTAGAAATTGTTGAATATCTCCATGAATCCAGTAAATACCGTGTGAATATAGTAGATGAAGTAGTGATCAAAAAGGACGTCGTGAGAAACGCAATGGATGGCGTCAGTTTTAATGTGGATGTTTACCAAACCTCACGCCTGTTGTCTCTTTTCCAAAAGTTGCTCTGTGAGATGAAGCACAGGCCACGAGGCCGAGCAGGAGCTCTGAGAACGCACACAGCCAATCAGAAGCTCCGGAGTAAATCCAGTGTTTATTAGAAAAAGCTCTTGTGTGTGAGAGAGACTGTTATCATTTATTCCTTTTTCGGTACAAAAAAAAAAAAATAGAAAACCTATGTGATTTTTAGAATTATTTTTAGGATGTTTTATACTTGTACGTGTCGTGATGGAGGACCAAAATCAACAGGCAGACAAACGCAAAAACTATGCCATTTAGTGTTTGGTTGACGAAGCACAGGGTACGAAGAAGTACACAAAAAGCACAGGGTTAGAAAAGTGAATTACAAAAAAAAAAGAATCGACTATCCCTTAATAATGAGTCAGTCCTGTTTACGTTTTGCATGCATTACTCAGGAACATCGGTGAAAACGATTTCACAAATGTCTCCGGACAAATAGTAAAAATTAAAAAATATAAACTGCCAATACATCTATTTCCAGAAACACATTTTACACCTGGATCAACTTTGTGTCAAAGTACAGTAACTATTTTTCTTAAAACCTAATAATCCGTTATAGTTGGATCAAAATATCTTCAGCAATACACACAGGAAGTAGGCGATTATTTCCAGGCCAGTACGCGGCTGCATGTCTCTCTTTTTGTTCGTGTCGTCTTCACAATTGAAAAGCACAAAGCTTTAATTTCCCCCCCAGACTTTGGCCAGCGGTGCGTGTGTGTGTATGTATGTGTGTGTGTGTGTGTTAGGACAATGTTAGTTTGCTTTTATGGCAGCTACTGTGAGAAGGCATCGGGTGGAGCGGGCGGAGAGGTGAAATGGCAACAGTTCAATGTCCTGTGAATTTTGTATAAAGTTAATCTGCCGCAGTTTTCTCTGGAACTTTGTTGTAAAACCGTACTGTTGTAAAACATGTTACTGTGAATGTCTGTACTACATGAGAAATTATTGTCTAAATGTTGAGAAAAAAAAATATGGAGTTGCTGTTTTCTGCAATAATATTTTGAACAGAGAAGATGAAGCACATATCTTACAGAAGTCCGACAGAAAATGACGATGACAATGAAGATACCGACCACTATATCAAAGATAGAAATTATGTCTAGTAAAACAATATTGTTTTGTATATTTTTAACTGTCTCACTGCCTAATGTAAAACATATAAACATGATATGTATCTATATGGTGTCACATTATAAAGCACGATTGTTATGTTGTACAAACAGAAAAAAAAGGCTGACAAATAAAGAGTTCTAGAAAATAGAAATGAAAATCGTGACTGGAATATGTGTTTACATTGAACTGGAGTGGAACACGACAACTAAACCGTGATGAATACTGCAGTAATTGGCCAGGAAATATTTCAGTTTTACTTATAGATCTGAACGAGGCACCGCGATGTCTGCTAGTACGATACTTTCCCGTTAATATAGTTCCTTGACGTCTGAGGAGTGCAGTAAGGCAGTGTATGACATTCTGGCAGGTATGCTAACCTGTCAGGACAGCAGACGATAAACTGAGGTTTAACTGTATACGTTCAACATTATTCTGTCGACTAGCCTCATTTTGAGACACACTTCCAGACTTTCGCAGATTATAAAACATCTACTTTACTCAAGGTGTAGACAGAGACTCCAGAAATACAAAAACGTGAACAAAATCCAAGTTAATCTTCAATAATAAGCTTGACAAAAAAAAAAAAAATCAAAGACACTGAAAATTGCCATCGCAGGTTTTTACAGCAAAACACGTGAGGCGTCAGGAGAAGATCGACTAACTGGGGTTAAAAGCAACGAGTGAAGACAGGAAGGGGAGAAAAATCATCAAAAGACGAGGACAGAGAAGACTGTGAAGCCATTCCATTTATGAAGTGTCAGAAACACAGGCTGCTGCAGAGATGCCACCACACAAGAAAACCAACAGCACAAAACAGCTCTGGCCCCGGGGCCTGATGTGCCTGCACTCGCCCCATCTCCACCAATCCAAATATGACTCTGTGTGTGTGTGTGTGCACATCTTGTTGCCCCCCCACCCCACCTCCCACAGTTGCTGCTTCCATTAGCTTTCAGTGTGATAAAAGAGATAGCACCAGCTGACACCACAACAATAACTCGCCATGGATAAAAGAATGAGATGTCCTCTCCAGGAGCTGGTGGGAGAGCTGGAGAAAAAGAGAGGGTGAGAGAGAGAGGGAGGGGGGAGGGAGGAGGGAGGTTATGGCCAGAAACGTCTGAATCAGGAACCTGTTTTTTACATTTTAAAACAGTCATGCTTTCTGAACCAATCTCTGTCCAATCATCACGTAGACGACCAGCTTCTGTCCCCACCCACTGATCACTGACCCTCGCTGAAGTGATACTCACGTTGTTTTGCAATTAGCATTTAATTAGCATCTGATCTGCATCGACAAAGCTACCCAGCGCTTCAACCGCTGACGCCTGACGCAGCTGAGCTTCAACAGGGTTACTACACTCCACTGCTGAGGATCGGTGATAACCAGCTGGTTCATAATTAACTAGTCACTTAGTCATTGTAACCTGATGACATGTCAGTTAAATGGAGACATCAGAGCATCGATCTGAGGACAACTCAGCTACAACGCTGTCGTAGTTTAATAACGTCTGCTCGCCATTGTGCACGATGGGGGGAGAAAAGGTGGGGGCGGGGTGCAGTGTGTTTGTGTGAACCGGGCTTTGACTAATGCCCCTGTGGCTGCTGATGGATGACTAGCTAGCCTCCTTTATTCCCAGTTGTGTAATTTAGCATTATTACATATGAAAACCATTTGCCGCCGTGACAGCGAGGACTGATGTGTTAGCACCAGCAGCCTCGTGGATCATCACTGAGGATCATCACTGAGGGCTGAGGAGGACAGAAGAAGGAAGCTCTTTATTAGCTGCTAGCTGCCAGCACAACACCATTAGTCTGAGTTCAGGTCCAGATGTTTCAGCACTTAGACACTGATGGCTTTCTTTTTTCTTTTTTTTTTTCTGTTTCTGTTCCTGGCTATTATAACATGACCTATAAAAACATAAAAACATCACATTAGCATCTCTTAAATATTCAGGGCTACAGTGAATGTTTTTATGTTCATTTTACCTGCAAAATCCAGAGGAAACTGTACACCTTTAAACTGCAAAAGGCATGTTTGAATAGATATATATACAATATATACACACACATATATATGTATATATGTACATATATACCGTATATAAACATATACAAAAAAATGTACTTTTACTTTAGTGGTAGAACCAAATTAAAAAAAATTTAAATTAGAGAATTTGTCACAGAATAAAATAATTGTTGATAATATTTTAAGATCATATATTTCTGAGGCTAATTTCGACAGCGGAGACGAGTCTGTATCTTCACCCGTGCACTCTACGTACGCTGTTTAATTACGTTTTCATTCCATCAACTCCACGTTTGTCACGCTGTTTTTTTTTTCTTCTTCTTCTTTGACTTAATGGGAAAATAAAGGAGCCCGATGCACTGAGTGTCATTTTCATGTTCTGTCTCATTATGCTGATGACACGTCGTTGTGTAACTCCGTGTCACGCACATGTAAACAAACCTGACCACGCAGTGACATCATCAGAGCAGATTTATGTGTTAGTGTAGATTTCTCTGATGTTATGCTGACAGTGGGCTCCATGCTGTGACCAGGGGGCGTGGGGGGAGGTTGTTGGCACCCTCTGTGGCAGAGCCTATTTTTAAAAGTTAAAGTGCTTGTAATGCAGCCGCGAGAGAGGACACTGACAAACAATCTGCTGATCCACGATGCCTTTGTGGAGGATGCTGGAATGATTAGGCTTAAAAAGTCACACATGATCCGAGCTGCGAGCCTCAGAGTCGGAGCACAAAGAACTGACGCTGCTGTGAAGATGAAACGACGACGATGTCAGGAATTTAGACTTTAAACCATATCTGTTTTTAGCCCGGTTTCCTTATTAAAATTTAAAAAAAATCTTTTGGTTCTGTGTCAAAGGTTAACCTGAATGATTTATATGGACACACGCTGTGTGTGTTGGCAAGAATCTGGCGATACGATACGAATCGCAATGCAGGGGCAATGGTACGATATATTTTGCGATGTATTGCCATAGTAAACGTACAATGCTGTTCCATCTGAACCTCAGGTTACTAACACTAGAGAAAGAACTAAATCAACCGTGCGATAGGAATGATACGGTATCGTGAAATATCAACCGTGCGATAGGAGACATCGATACAATATCGTGAAACTAAATATTGCAACATGTCAGTGTATTGATATTTTCTTACATCCCAAAACGATACTAATATAATTAGGGCCTACAGTGGTGCAGTGGTCCGCCACCTAGAGGCTGTGGGTTCAGTTCCTCTACGGCCCCATCAGTAGGTCTCATCCCTGCTAAAGGAACAAAATGGATTCTCCTTTTCCTAACGCAGTCCATCAGAGGGTCTCATGTAGAGACAAACATCCATTCACACTCACATTCACACCAGTGGTCAGTGTAGAGACAACAACGACTCTGAACCCCACCCAACACGGTTGTCGACCACTGGGAGAGGACAGAACATCACAAGCCGACCTTTTCTCCACCTCAGGACTGCAAACACATTAATGAGCAGCTAATTTAAGAAAATGCTTCAAACTAGGTGTGAATGCAGTCAAACGTGCACGTCTGACTGTGATTCTGTTCACACCGGGACAAATAAAAAAAATAAATCCCACGTATATTCAGTTCCTTCAGCTTTTCTAACTGTGAGTTCTAATGACACAGCAGATATTGCAGGAGAGGAGAAGCAGAGCATGAGATTCCTGAAAATATACACTGCAGAGGTTTTCCTGTCACACATCATCAGGGTTTGTCATAGTCACTGTAAGAACATCTGTGGGTTTAAAATACCAAAATCCCTGCTCTGGGGTTTTAAACCGATCCTTCAGAACGGCTTTAATTTGATGACATTATATCATTACTCGCCTACTTTACCCACATATGAAAATCTGCACTTTACCTCAACTTTATGGACCTGTTCAGGCGGTGGAGTGGAGCCACTGGAGAAAAGTTCAAATTAGGACCTGCAAAAAAAAAAAAAGATGATGTTTGACTTCTGGATAATACCTTTGTAGGGATGAAACGATCAACTCACCAAACAATATCGCAATTGTTTCAATCATGACACGATTTAATCACAATTATTTACAAATTAATCACCCACTAACAGGGAGAGCTGTGATTTGATCAGAACTTTTCAAAAAAACAAAGCATTTTCCAATCAGAGCAAACGTCACATTTTTTAACCAAACTGGATACATATTAGATCTAGAACCATCTGATACTTTTTCTTTTCATGATAATTTAATTTTGGGTTTCAGTCCTTAGACCAGACGGAGAAGCAGGTGACCTGCTGTCAAAGGTCGTCCTCCAAACTCCTACAGAGAAGAGATTCTGATGGAAACACCAGTGAAGAAGAAGAGTTTGGACTGAAAGACAACTTTTTGACTTATACGTTCCTGTGGAAATGGTCAAAATCATATCGGTGCAGTGGTATTTGCGTGTTTGTTTAAATGCATACTTGAATACGTGTACTGTTTGTGAGTGTGTATCAGTACTACGGGCCAGGGCAGCAGCAGGAGCAGCTCCTTCGCAGCTTCGGTGACGATGTGCGTTCTGTCAGATTACGCCACCACATTCTTCACGCCTCACTCCTCTGGATGTTCACTAAGTCCTGCACTAATGATGGTGACAACTGTCGGCGCGGTGAAGAAGAGCGCGGAGACGACGATGAAGGAGGAGGAAAATCCTGTGGCTTCGACTTCTTTATTTCCCTGATTTGGACTTAACTGCAGGACAAGACGAGTACACGTAAACACGGGCTCTGCTACTGCGTCTGTGACGAGGATTACATCCAGCCACTTCACCACCTCAGGCCAGATTATCATTGGGCCCCCCCCCTCGTCCTGTAGCCCCCACCACACCCCCTCACAGAAAAATAAAAAAATGAATCAACGCCAACCTTAAAAGACCAAAAACACTGACGTTTAAAACAATAGTGATAATTAAATGGAACCAAACGAGGCCTGTCCTGTACTGTACTTTCCTGTCCTGTACTTTCCTGTACTGTACTATACTTTCCTGTACTGTATTGTCCAGTCCTGTACTGTCCTGTACTGTACTTTCCTGTCAAGTCCAGTACTGTCCTGTCCAGTCCTGTACTGTCCTGTACTGTACTTTCCTGTCAAGTCCAGTCCTGTCCTGTCCAGTACTG